GATCGACCACGAGATGGGCGACATTCAGCGGCTTGTTCATCGCACGCCGCTTGAACCGCCTCAGAGAGAACAGAAACCATGCCCTCAGTGCCGGACTGGCTGATCGACCGGTCGGTTGGCTGGCGCTAGCAGCAACCTGTTCTGTCAACACTTATTAAGGACAAGACTCACGGTGTTGACGACAGTTCTTACTTCTGAATCACACGGCGATGAACGCATACATTATTCGAACGCAAATACGCTTTTCTCTGTTTACTCTGTCGTCAGAAATGTGGGTCGAGGCGCGGACTGGATCAGGCTTGACAATGACAACCACATCGTTCCGGCGTCTACCGCCAGTCAACCGCTCGACCGGCTCTCGACTGGAGCGCAGGCTGTGAGCGCGTGAAAAATCGAGTAATTGAGGGCCTCGTCCTCGAACAATCGCCCAAATAATTTTCATTTCCACTCGGTTTGCTGGAGTTCCGCCATTCGCGAGTGATGGTGGTGTGCGCGGCGCGGTTTCCAGCAGGTCACTCGTCCTCGGCTGGTCGTTCAAGGTCGAACTCCTCGCAACTTCAAAAATCGACGTGAGACAAGAGGTGTTAATCCATGTCCGTACTTGACTCATGAACCATCAACCAACAGTCAGTCGATTAATTAATTAGAACTTTCAAACGGAACTTTTTAAGATACGAAAACACTCCTGAAGTTCGGAAGCCTCTGAAGAACTTTGTACTTCACATTTCATAAAGGGGTTTAGCCAATCTTAGTTGTGTAGCTTAAATTCCTAATATGGTTCAAAGTTCAACAGAATGCTGACTGAGGTTACCAGAAGACTAAAATAACCTGTCTATCCCCTGAATGAATGGCAAACAAATGATGAATATGATCTGACGCTCAACGTGATAACTACACAATTTTATGTTTCCTTTCATTAAGGATCTCCGGTTCTTGACAATCCAGGACAATGGGAATGACTTTGTTTTTCTCTTCTCTGATATAATCTATCAAAATTCCCCGTTCTTTCCGTACTTCCTGCATAAGACTCATCACTCTCGGTTCGAAAGCTAGACGGCCAAAATATATAGCCAGATTGCTTTTCTCTGTTATAAGGTAGCTTCGACAACTATAAGGAACTTTGCTAACCTCTTTACCACAGTCTTGTAAGCCGATCGATATTGGTCGTTGTTTGTTCTCCACGACGGCGACCCTGATGATGGATTTTGGATATTCAGTTCCAGCAGCACATCTTCTTGCTAGCATCTTCCACTTAACATGTATCTGCTGTACAATGCAAATTTTTCTATTTTCGCATATTCATTTTTAATGATTGAGGCCAGCCGTCCATAATAATCTTGGAAAAGGAATAATAAAATTTTCCCATTACGCTATATAGTGTCTGAATGGACGATGACAACACACGGAACAGAAGATCCGGACGACGTCAGATGGACTTTATAAGTACATGAGAAATAGGAGCATCTATCACTTCACCTGGATGCTGAATGTGAGGAACATATCTGAAACAGTGCATCATGTCGTCGTTCCTCTGAACAATGAAGAACATTGTTGTTGATGTTTTCCATCTAGTCTTCGGTAATCCGCTCATTTTTCCGCTCCTTACGATTTCACGACCACTCCTTCCCTCTGTACTCATATTTTTGCAGCACTTTTGCTATAACGGACCGGTAATTGCATCGCGTAAGGAATATTCCACTTCAAAAGCAAATCTGCCATTACCTTATTCCTCTGCGTTGCAGGCTAGCCTCCTTGTTGACGGCTGCCGTGTTTTCGGTTTCTACACGGGAAGCTCGCACGCTGCAAAAATTGTTTCATGCTGAACAAACCTGTCTAACAAGGCGCTGACCACCTCTTCCTAATCTCCATATCTACTGAGGTTACCTCTGCCTGGAAAAGAATAGGGTTATTTCTGTTCAGTGTTATCCTTCCGTGTTCCTGCTATTTAACCGTCGTCATGCGTCGAAGCCAACGTGGTTGCAATCAAATCAACCTTCGTTCTTGTTCCTTGACTGAAATCAGCTGTCTCCATTCCGTACAACAACCCTGACCTTACAAAGGCAAGCTACAGTCATACTCCTTTCTCAGCCTAAAAATATGACAGGTTACTAAAATCATTGACAGCGACAACGATCCTCCTGTTTGACTATGATTGCGTGTTGCCATCCATGGTGATGACTGAACCGAGATACTTTAATTAGTCGATTTCTTTCACCGCTTCTCCTCCCTACTCCACCTGTAGATCAGGCGTGTCTTGTAGGTTCTTTATAGCCTCTGAACTTCTCTGTATTAAGATAAAAGGCTGGATTTCACAGCTACATTTGCGGGAATTAATGTAGCAAAATACTGTGTCTCTAGCTGGCTTCAAATTCTTTCGACTTAGTGTTAAACCAGAAACAGGTCGCAACAATCGTTACGTTACGGAGTAAGAGAACCGGAACTGGTAGACCTACTGATATGACACAAATAACTGCTTCTTATTCGAAAGCCATACAGGGAATTGCCGGCAAAACAGTGATTTGTTCGTAAATCCGTTGTAGAACTTAGACTGTTTACAGATTTGCTTCAGCAGGTAGCCACAAGCCTCAAAGAGGTGGTGTGGCTTGACTTAAGGAATGCGTCGCGAGCCGTGCCTAACCGTTTCTCTTCGGAGTGATACTCTGAAGGCGCCGGTTATTCTATGTTTAAGGGGAGGCGATCGGTCGACAGAATAGTAGCCTCTGCTGTTGATGGAACCGGCTTCGACGGCGATGCCACCATATCTCTTATTTCCATCGTTAAAGTAATGTACGACGACGCAGCTCGCGAAAGTTATTGACTCTACGACGAAGGCGGACATTTTTTTCGTCATTGTAATAAAGTGCCATTGCGCGTCCGGCCGCTGGTTCTTATGCCACCACCGACTTAAGTACTTTCTGTCTTTAATGAAATGGCTTCTGAAAGATTTACTGATCAAGGCAAGTTTTCGGCTCACCGCCGTTTAGGCCATTCATCCATCAAACGTCGATTGCATTACATGGCTATGACATGCTAAGCGTTTTGGGTAACTTTATATAAGGGATTTAGGTCCAAAGAGAGGAAGTAGCAAACTAACCAAGGTTTTATTAAAACGAAATCTACAACCAGACAATTTTCCTTTCGCTAGCGATAGCCCGGATCATACGTTGGCAAGCGAGAGATGCGTTCCATTTTACAGCAACATTGCAGCACGTATCGTTTTTTTTTTAGACAACCGTTGCTTGCAGCCTGCTCATGACCGTCTTCCTGTTCTCAGGTGAGGTAGCCAAGGAGCAGCAGCAGGAAGCAAATAAGACAGCGGTTCACATGCTTTCAAATTTGGGAACTGGAATAAGAAATAATTTTAAAATGCCATAATGGCATTGCGCTGTGCATATCATCCGTTTAGAATGTGCAGCGGCTCCGTTGCTGACTGAAGCATTCGTATTTTTCAATCGATTTTTGGCTGAGGCACCTCTGACCAGATCTTCGTCGTAAGGCAGATAGTTAAGAACTCGTGGAATTCGCTCGTTCGGTTCTCATATGCTTTGTTGACCAGTGCAAACATATGCCCAGATCCCGCAACAAGCAATGATCGTATCCTCAAACGTATGGGACGTGTGAGCAGCTGCTAGGAGCCATCCAGTGACTATCCGTTGATAGTGGGCACAGCATCAAAGAAATGGCGTTAAGTCGAAACCATTCAACGTTCGCACAGGTCTCCGCCAAGGCTGCGTCCTGTCCCCTATCC